GTGCGTGCGTGGGGGCCCATTGGCTGTTCGTCCCCAGGGCCTGAAGGGGATACTCCAGGTGCTGGTGGCAGAACAGAGCCTCTTGGCAGCTCGACATGGAGCCCAGCCCACCCCCAATGCAATGCACCAGCGCATTGTGACTCGTGCTTTTCTACTAGACACCTGTGTCTTGCCTGCCTCGAAGCCTGAAACCCTAACAGCTTTGGAGCTGAAGCGGGCCTGGCTTGGTTCCTGTCAGCCATAGGGTGACGTGCTCCCCCGCGGGGCTGTTGTAATGGCAGCCTCGAACTCAGAGTCAACTGGCGTTATGTTAACTTGTGGGGTTCGGCTGGAAAAGCGGTGGTGTCCCCTGCCATCCCGTTAATCACTGCTGTGGACATGGCTGCCGCTGCCTGGACTTCGAAGGCACTGTGGCCATGTACACCAGACAAGGCCTTGGCAATATCCGTTTCATTTGTAACCGGGGTAGCTAGTGTGTCGTGCACAGACAGCTGGGAAGTGTTCCCTGGAGGCTGGACACTTGTGTGGCTGCTCAGGAGAGAGTCTGATGCTGGCTAGCTACTGGTGGTGCACATTCACACATGCCTCGGTGCACATGAAAAAATTATTCCGCATGTGGATGGCAAAGATTAGCGGGAACGTTGCAACTGGGTCAAATTCATCGCTGGCGTCACTCTGCTGAAACCAGTGGAGTTATATCGGCTTTGCAGACCCATAGGTGGGGCAGCGTGAGCAGATCTGAGGGGGTCCTTCAGGGATTTTCAGCGTGCTGCTGCTCCTGGTCCTGGCACGGGGCTCTTGTCCTGCTCTCTCCAAACGGCCCAGAGACAAGGTGCTTAAGGCGACTTGGTTTCCCTTTTCCCAGGGGGATTGCAAGGCCCTGGGAAACAGGGTGTGATGGTGCTACTGCCGCTGGAGGTCCTGTGCACGGATTTGCTTTCCATGGTGTCGCTGCTTCCCTTTGGGGATCTGTGAGATGCCTGGCAGCTGCTCTCCCAGCCGCTGTGGGGCAGGGCAGGGGCGGGGGGGGGTTAAAAGAAGGAGGAATACGGTGGA